GCAAGTGTTGACTAATTCCTACTTAAAACATATACAGTATGTATGTATTGACTGCTCTCTCTCTCTCCGACGGAGGCATTCCTACAACAGGTCCGCACAATCATAATGAATGGCAAAGCAATGCAAATCTAGTAGTAAAACATAAATTTGATGTGTATTTCTGGTCAATACAAGTGAGGGTATAGTTAGGCAGAGTTAGGCACACGTGTGTCACTCAACCAACGCTCGCCATCCGTGCGATCGGAGGAGAGAAGCAGTCAATACATACATACTGTATATGTTTTAAGTAGGAATTAGTCAACACTTGCGATGCAATGATAATCTGCGAAGAAATACGTCACACCATCTCATCTCGTATAACACTATTAGTATTTGACACCAAACATGTGCGCGGATTAAACACCACTACTACTGCATCCATGGCTTCAATTCTTAAGCACAGAATATACAGTATATGTTATACAAGTCTACGAGAATAAGCGTGAGAAACAAAAAACAATAAACTAGTCTCTAGTTATGTAATACCACTTCACAGCATATTATGTCTCAATAACCGAATCGCTGGTAAACACTGTGAAATAAGGCATCAAATGTAGACATTTATGTAAAAACATAGCATTTATTGTTAAATTTTATGCTCAATATTTCCATTGAATTTCATGTAACTTTAAATGAGAAGGAGGTGTAACTTGTTTTCGGTAAATTTGAATTTTAGTTAAGCTTTTCACTAAAAATTCTAATAATTTTATATTCAGTAGATATGAATAGAGTATAAAATTCTATTTTAAAATTAATGACAAAATTATATGTATTATTATCATTGTATTAAGTACAGTATACTGTATTAAAACTTTATATAAATAAACTAAACAATATGAAAACAAAATGAGAAAAATATCTAATTAACTTATATTTTTCTAATTGTGGCCAATTTTTAGATTTATTAGAATAATTTTATGCTTATAACTAGTTATTGTATTTATGACTTTTCTAACTAAAAAGCAATGAAATAATAATTCCTAAACATTGTATCCGTAAAAAGTTTATTCGGATGTAAATTAAAGCTTTGATTTTGTAATCATTTTAAATTATCCAACAATATTCGTAACAGAGTTAAGCAATTTAAATATCAAAACCAATAAAAAACATAAATATTGAACGGATTTGAACGACCATTCTGTTGGTCGAGCGAACACAACAAGCAATTACCTAATTATACCACAAAAATAAGTATTCAATGACTGATTCCTGTTCTCCATGTGTTGTATTGGGAGAGGAACTGCTTTATTACTTGTTTTCGGTAAATTTGAATTTTAGTTAAGCTTTTCACTAAAAATTCTAATAATTTTATATTCAGTAGATATGAATAGAGTATAAAATTCTATTTTAAAATTAATGACAAAATTATATGTATTAATATTATTATCATTGTATACTGTATTAAAACTTTATATAAATAAACTGAACAATATGAAAACAAAATGAGATAAATATCTAATTAACTTATATCTTTCTAATTGTCGCCAATTTTTAGATTTATTAGAATAATTTTATACTTATAACTAGTTATTGTATTTATGACTTTTCTAACTAAAAAGCAATTGAAACAATAATTCCTAACCATTGTATCTGTAAAAAGTTTATTTGGATGTAAATTAAAGCTTTGATTTTGTAATCATTTAAATTTATCCAATAATATTCGTAACAGAGTTAAGCAAATTAAATAACAAAACCAATAAAAACATAAATATTGAACCGATTTGAACGACCATTCTGTTGGTCGAGCGAACACAACAAGCAATTACCTAATTATACCACAAAAATAAGTATTCAATGACTGATTCCTGTTCTCCATGTGTTGTATTGGGAGAGGAACTGCTTTATTGTGACGGGTTTTCCATATGATTTGATAATCGATATAATAAATACAATTTGAAGCGAAACATAACAACATTTTAAACTTCGGAAACAAATGTTTGTGAGTATAATAAATATCCGTATCATAAAAGAGATGATTTACAGACTATTCAACAGATTATATGCTAAAACTACATACAAGTGAAGGTTAACATAAGCCAAAGGATATGTTAGGGTTGCGATCAAAACCATAAGCTTTGGGACGAGTGTTTGTGCCATAAAATTCAAGTCATTGAGAAGTATATATACAAATTATATATGACTTTTAATTTAAATTTTATTCAAATTTTTATTAAATACAGATTTTGAGTTCACATAACATTAAAATAAGAGATTTAAAGAATTATAATTACATCAATTGAAAAATCAAAAGAATATTAATGTTATTATTAGATAACAAATGACATGAAATGTTATATATTTGTGTTTTTTGGTTCAATACAATCAAAAGATTTTTAAATTGTCGTTTTTTAAATTAACAATAAGTTATTTTCATAACCATTAAGTTATTCATAAATAAACCAAATTTACTAAAAGAAATTCTGATATAAAAGTGGGCCTAAAGTGTAACCTAATAATAATAATTGAAGCGAATTCCTATCAATTATAGAAATAATAATCTTTTAAATAATTAATACAAAACTTCAGTTGTCTTTCGAAAATCGTCCCAAAAAACTCTTATAAAGAAAATATTAGTTATTTTTTTAATGAAAAAGTCTAATGAAAACTAAGCAAATGTTGACATAAGAAGTGATTATATTCTGAATATTAAACTAACAATAGCTTCAAATATGTGTTGAATCTAATTAAAAGATTTTTTCTCGATTTATATTAAATGCTTTCTTATTATCACAGAATCATTGTATGGTTTATTGTTTCACTTGCGGTGATTGTCCTAATAATGACTATAACTTAGACTTATTATACAATTAAATACTTAACACTTAAGTCATAGGAATGATAGGCAAACAAAACAAACGAGAGATTAGGAGTTTTGTCAATAAGTAATACAACTAAAAATGTATCGCAAATTACAGTATATATTAATTAATAAGATATTTCTTTCATTGTTTAGCCAACAATCAGATGAACCTATCATTAGTGTCTTCACTACATGTAATAAGTAATGTTTTGTTAAAAACCCTGTGTTTAAAGCCTTTATTTGTTAATCCAAATTAAAAGATAAAAATTAAGAAAATAAAATATTCTTCAAATCAAATGAAAGATTAAATTAAATAATAAGATATTTAAAGCATAGACTAGAGAGGAATGCAGTGAAATAATATTTCAATCCAAATATAATTATGATAATTAAAATGAAAATAAAAGAATAAAATATATTTAAAATATTGATTCAAAAAATAATGAAATTTAAACCTAAAACCAATTCTAGGAAAACAAAAATATATTGATTTTGTTATATGTTTAATGTTTTGGTTGTATTTTGTTGAGAAAACTTTGAGAAATGACTGGATTTGGATTCGCAAGTGAGGCATAAAATACTTGAATTAAGATTTCAAAAATAAATTCTCGTTAATTTAAAAATGAGTGAATGTTTTGATTGGTTTTGTCTCTAAAGTCGGAGATCCCATAGATATGGGCAAAAGGAGGGCTTTTTGTATTACGATTAGTAACAGAAATGATTAGTTATTACTGTTAGTTAAGGTACGGATAAATATGTCCACAATTCAATCCATTGACAGGACAGGTATGTGTTTGTGTTGAGTAACGGCCGCAACAAATGAATTTAGACCGCAATTTGTATTATAATAAGTGGTAACAAATCTAACAATCGGTTTCTCATTCATGCACTCAATTGTCCATAAGTTTTGACAGAACAAAGAATTGGTTCCCTTCTGTGAATAATATATGAGATGAATGTGTGATCTTCTGGTGTCTGATGTAAGAAGTGATTGATTGGCCGAAAAGCGAAACCCGAAAAGAAAGTTCACTAATATTTTTAAAGAGTGAACGCTTTAAAACGATTAACACTTATTTCAGTGCAAACCAATGGTTATGAACATTGCATTTGAGGAGACAGTGAATAGACTCGTATTTGTCATATATTTTCAGTCATAGAAGAGTCCATATTATTATTATTATTGCATTTTCCTGAAAAGCGTCGGAAATTTGTCACCGAATACAACGAGTTTAGAGGATCTTTAAAATCGGTTCACATTTTTAGACAATTGGCGAAAATAATTGCATTTCTCTCTAATTTAACGACAATTTAATCGAAAGACTACTTCAGAAAAGCAAATCCTCCGACAAAAGAGTTTTTGGATTCATTCTGAAGACAAACAAACCTTCAAACGAATCGTTGGATTAGCTGTCAATCACTGAATAACACAATTCTTGTCGGAGGGTTCAGTCAGATGTATGGGTCCTTGAGTTGCACTCTCGACCATCTCGTCGTCTTCGATCCTATAGACAAACAAAGCGTTTATTCATTCATTCATTTCGTTTAGATATTTATCGCATTCACTAATTAAAAGACATTTTCTTGTAAATTCCAATAAAAATTAACTCAGTCTTCATGTAAACTAATTTATGACTTTCTCTCATGTTTTTCATACATTAACTAAAAGGAGAAAAAACTATTATTTTGGAAAAACATTTGAAATAATAGGGCATCAAAAAGAGCATAAAACTAATAAAAAGGCAATAATTCTCTATTGTGTTGTAAAAGAGTAATTGCAATAATTATGTAAACATTTTGGCTATTATTATGAAACCATAAAAAATGCATTTGTTTTATATAATAAAAAGTGTATTTTAAGAATCAAATCAATAATAATAGTATTTAGTGTATAACTAATTGAATGTATGAATTACTTAAGTTATCAAAATAGAGATTAAGTGTTAATCTATAAATTGAATTAGCATTTAATGTCTAAGAATTAGCATTCATTCACTGTTTTGTTGTATTTACAAGTGTTGGTAATCTCACGGCTTAAGTGATTATTTTGAAAAAGAAAACTGCGATAAAAATGCAATAATTTAAAAGTCAATTTCCAGCGAGACATTGATCAGCGCTGGTTAGGCCTGTAAGGGCTGGTAGGGTATGATTTAGAGCCGGCAATTAACCCTTGCTTTCCACACAAAAGACAACGTCTAATGGCGTGCATTTGATTTACGGCCCAAACCATCACAAGACTATTTGCCTTTTTGGGCCGTAAATTATTGCCTCAATTTCATAGCAAAGAGTCTGATGGCACTGATATAGCTGTGCGATAGTAGTGTCTCACTAATGGGTGCTTTGCCTGTGTTTACAGCCCTTCACGAGCATTGCTCTCAAGACATCACATCCGCAATATTGGCATCAAATGAATCGGCACTGAATCCGGCATTCATTGGATGTATGGCTCGCAGAAACCAAATGATGCTGAGCTGAGCGCTGGGGGGTTGCACTATATATACACGAATATACCTGCGCTCGTATGTAATGCCATGTAATGGTTAGATACACACCTGTGTGCGGAGGACTGTGTTGTGTGCGCTTCACTTCTTCAGACTTTTTTGATACTTATAATAACAAAATTGAAGCCAAAATGAGCGCAAAATATTACCGACACATAGATTGGGAAAAAACCAAAAGCATGGAAAACCTGGTCATTTAGGCAAAGGGGGGTCTGTTGTCACACACACATCAAAATCATGTTAACAAATTATATTGGGATCGGAGGTCATCCCAGGCATGCCATCCCATGCCATGGCATGGATTGCGTCAGAAATGGATTAAACATTTCTAACACAACACATGAAACAAATTCATTGCATTTTTCCACTCCATTCACATTCTCTACCATTAATAACATTGACCTCTGATTGACATCACTATAAGTTGGGGCACAAGAAGTTGAGCGCAGATTTGGATTGTATTTCAAAATAAACATTTTCTTAAGCGTTCAAAATGTTATGGTTTTGACTAAAATAAAAACAAATTTTGCTCCAAAACTAAAAACTTCTTCTCTTTTAGCTTCTAATGAGTGCTAAAAGATTATGAGAGAGAAAGACATGAAGACATAGACTCTAAAGAGAATAAGTGACGACTAATCGCAGGAAATGATTCCCACAGTGAATGTCTGGAAGAGGAAGGGTCTGACAAGTGTTGACATCAACTTTAAGACTGTTTTTTGACAATTGGAGACATCGAGTGATGGTTAATAAGAAACGTTTTGCCAGAAATGATGGCAAAACAAACATTTCATATATGAGTTGTATATGACTTACGCCTTCTCTTGAGTATCGAGATGTTGAACCAATTCATCCCTCTTATTAACAATCGTCACCAGCTCTTCCAGAAGCAACTTTTCCCGCTGTTTCTGACTCTCAGTCTTCTGCCAATCTATTGAAGAGGGAGAAGAGGGGAGAGAAAGAGAGATAACAGATATTAGTTAAACACTGTTTGTTAGGCGAAGAGAATCAGAAAAAAATAAAACATAAGAATTATTAATGTTATGAATGTATGAATGCTGTGAAACATTGAAATATTGTAATGCGTGTAAAGACATGGAAAGATTGCTTAAAGCAATGATGTTATTACAAGAATACAAGTGCTAATGATAGCAGTGATGGCTTGTGATGGCTGTGACGGCATGTGATAGTGAGATGGAGGAGAAGCGTTGTTATCCCAAAAAAGTAAAGGCAATCAACATTTTTATCGTATTCATTGACCGAATTGATCGATAGTTTAATTACTCGAATCTGCATTCCTATCGTCAAAGAAGTGATAATATGGGCCATAGGTTTGCAACACTTGTAGTCATCACACAAACCAATACTACTAAACAAGATTACATGTATTGCTGTCACAGACCCTCAACTGATGGATCACTGGGCGGCGCACCATATCTTCAACGGTGACCGCCGATGAATTAAATGCCAAATTCAAAGACAACAAGAGTAACAATACATAAAGTAAGAACAGTTAGGGATCGCTTGTGGAGCACTTCAATCACAAGGAAGAGGTGCTAAACGTGTCATAAATACTTTGAGGCACTTTATATGAAAGATATATGTGTTTGATATTTGATAATTCAATCTTAACTTGTATTACACTTTTATGTATTTATACATAATATTTATATAAAAGCTATTTCTTCAAAAACTGTTTACAATAATACTTCATCTCAGGCTTCGGTTCGCGAACAAGAAAAGAGAGAGAAAAGTAATATCTGTTTCATTACAGGAGATTTGACACAAACATCTAATTTATACATAAGCCATAAGAAAAGCCATTAAATTCTTTTCAAGTCCTTTAACACTAACTCTTTTGCAATTGATTACAATTTCATGAATTCTTTGTTCCCTTTTGATTGCCATTCACAGCAATACTCTTCAAAACAAAATTGCAATTTATTTTTATTTTAAGCAAAAATTCTTTTGAAGAAAAAACGCTTTTTAGTGTCAGTAATAAAAACTCAATAGAAATCTATATTTAATTTAAATCTAAGAATTCGATTATTGAATGTTTGCCACAAAATGTGTTTTATTGTATATTTAGAGAGAGAGAGAGAGAGAGAGAGAGAGAGAGAGACCATTGCAACATATTTCCAAATGCAGTGTTTGTACTCTTCTTCTTTTGGAAACCGCAATAATTTCAAACCAAATCATTTTCAAATCGCATTAAAATTATCCTTAAATACAAATTGGTTTTCACTAAACATAGATTATGTGCAAAACGTTTTCCATAAATATAATTGCATTTAACGGAACCATACATTTTAAACGGTCTATCTATTTATCCACTGAATAATCACTAAACATTAAATTTACACTAATTATGGGGTTTTAGATATTAGGTTAATCACAGCATTAGATCATAATTTATACCATCATATAAACCAATATTATACAAAAAAACAACAAATTTATTGATTAAGATATCAATTCTGTAACAAATATATTGTTTGACTTTTAATTGTATTTTAAATGTGAGATAATAAAGCATCCAATTTGTAACATTGAAAGAGATTGTATTTTCAATTGTGAATCTATATCGCTATCACTACCAGCAAAAGAAATGCTTAAAATAGCCTCAAGTTATTTATTTAAAACAAAACTCGTATAAAAACTATCGCTAACATCATATTTATTAAAAAGTGAGCGAAAATGTGTTTAGTTTTCTATTATTTTCTATGAATTATTAAAAGTCAGGTAAAAAATAATGAGAAATATTGAAGAGATTGATAAAAAAAAGTAAACAAGAATTTGTTGTAAATATGAGAAAAACAAATCCCAAAAGAATACAATCTGATAGTAAAAGGGGTGAAAACAAGAATACGTTACAGTAATACAAAACGTTACGAGAGATGAGAATAAATATTAATGTAATAAAAATGAATAGTATAACAGAATATGAAATAAAAAAGTAAATAATGTATAAAATATAAGTTATCAATGGAGTCGAGGGATTCATAAAAAAATTTTGATACACATAATGCACACAAGCTTTTTTATTTAAGAGTTCAGTCAAAACACAACTAAAGATGAGAGAGAGAGAGAGAGAGAGTAATATATAGAGAGTAATATATAAAGAGTAATATTGGTTGTGTTGCTTCTTTAAAAATAATACATAAAAAGGTTTTTTATGTACCAATTACTCAAAGCCAGAGAGAGAGAGAGAGAGAGAGAGAGAGAGAGAGAGAGAGAATACTGTTATATTCTATACGTTTTTGGCAATTTGGTTGAGTTTTGAGTTGAGAGCAAGTTTTGCACTAATGTTGTGCTCACTGTTAAGCCGCTTATCAAAGGGAGGAAAGAGAGGCCAAAAAGAATCAAAAATGAAGAGAACAGAAGCAACACAACCAATATTACTCTTTATATATTACTCTCTATATATTACTCTATATATTCTGTTCTATAGAAATATATATTTCTAACTTATTTATTGTATGAAAATATAGCGAACGCTGAGCAACCACTGCATCCATTGCTGGTATTATTATCATGAGCTGAAAAATAGCTGTCAGGCACTGCATATCAGGCATTGCCAGTATAATTATCATCACATCCATTGTCCTCCATCTACACAACAATCCATATTATAGAGTCAGTCAGACTTTTTGGCAAAACAGTCACACAATTCGCAATACATATTGAGTACTAATGCCAAACAAAACAGCAAAAAGATGTCAATGAATGTCATCCGCAACCTTACCTTCAATGGCTAGAATAGATCGCAATTCTTTGTTCAGTAATTCAAATCTTCTCTCCATATCCGCCTCTTTTTCGCTAAAATAAACAAAACATTCAATTATTTTCTCATTAATTAATCCGACAAAAGCAACAAAAACTATTTTTGTTGAATATTTTAATATTTAATTTTATAAAAACAAAAACACAAATTAATTCATTTAAATGTAAATACAATTCCAGAGAATGATTTTCACACTATTTTCCAAAAGGATTTACACTAAAAAACTATTTGCTTTTAAAGCGAAAGTTATTTAGAGATCAGAATTTACGAGTTTAAGTGTTTTTTCTCTAAAACTATCTCTTTTTAAGCCTAAATTCAAAAAATAAGAATTTGTTTTTATTGTAGAAATAAATTTTAAAATAGATTCACATTTTTGAGTCTTTTGAAAAGCAAATCAATTTCAAATTGAAATATAATTAAAATGTTTGTAACGTTTGTATTGACTGGAGAAGAATGCATTGAAATTGGAAACACAAAAACACGATATATTTTTGATAATAAATAACTATTGATATTATGATTAGATTTGGAGGTAATTGTTGAGTGAATTGTGGTGTAAATGGTAAGGCATTGATGCGAAAGGGATGCAAAGGTGGACCACACCATCACCTTTGTGTGGCATTTCAATTATGGTAACTATGGGGCGGATTGGTATTGGATTGGGGTATTGGTGACCAATTTTCATGCTGGCATGTAATGAAAGAAATGTCTATCCCTTCAGTCAATGGTTGATTGAATTTGTTTGACATTTCATTCAAATTACAAATCTAGACGTTAATCGTGTGACAGAGCTGTAGGACTGGAAAATACCAATTTCTAGAGTTTCTAATTTTTGTGTCCAAAACAGTGGTCACAGCAATACATGTATACATGAGAGACATTCGTCAGAAATGGTGCGGCAATCAGATGAATGTCTGTCAGCGGTATTGTTGGCTTTGGCACCGGCTTTGGTGGCACTAAATATTTAACGGCTAAGTAATGGACACAATGGAAGGCAATGGATATAAGAAATTGAAACTCGAAGGTCAAAATGGGCCACAAACTGATCTCATGAATAACATCACTACATAACAAGCGCTGCGAACCTAAGACCACCCCATACTTGCCTACTCTCTAGGCCTGAGACCTGTACAGCAAGACCTACAGGAACGCCGATTTTCCAACTGATCGGCTCTCAATATAAAGGGTGTGAAACACTGGCCCTACTCTACCACAGCCTCAACACATACACCACACAGCAGTCCTGTCCTGTCCTTAACGCTCATTCCATTAGCACAAGTAGTCGTCGCTTAATAATAATGATTAACTCCAACTTCTATACCCATAGTATACACAATGTATGCGATAGTAATGAATGAAATTACAGGCCTTTCAATCACTCATTCAATGAAATGCTTTCCTCATAAATTCATTCAAACCTATTATACGACCAATAATTTAATTCACTTTTAAATGCAAACAATTATAGTTTCCCGATCTCTCTCTCTCTCTCTCTCCTCAAATGCAATGTTCATAACCATTGGTTTGCACTGAAATAAGTGTTAATCGTTTTAAAGCGTTCACTCTTTAAAAATTTTCCCGATCTCTCTCTCTCTCTCTCTCTCTCTCTCTCTCTTTCAGTGGTAAATTCATTCACTGTTGAGAAACACATAACGCATTCCTAAAATATCTTTTAAAATGTGAATCTTTTTAGGTTTTAGTTTAAAAAAATAAGACAAGAATTGCTATAAATTCCAAAAACTAATTTTTAAATGTAAAAATAATACATAAAAAGGTTTTTTATGTACCAATTACTCAAAGCCAGAGAGAGAGAGAGAGAGAGAGAGAGAGAATGTTGTGAACTCCAAACAGGAATCTATTGGACACCAGAGAAAACTGCCATAACTTTGAGCTAAAATGTAGTCCCGGACTGAGACTGAAAAAGCTAAATGAGTGACACGTTTTAGTACAGATCTATTGAATGGCCAATACTTCACGCCTTTCTTAAGTATTTTGGAAATAACCTAAAGAATGAAAGGCAATAAAATTCCGGTCCAATGCATACATAATATTATGGCCAAAACACATGACAAATGGATAATAGAAAATAATACGACTAATAATAAAACTAGTGCTCAACTGTCAGTTGCTGTCATATTTGCATTCAATGTGAACAACATTTCTCTTTCCATCGCTTATAAAATGTCAAAAACAGAGCTAACAATACATCAAACGGCACATCAGTTTATTTTAAGTTTTTCAGAATGACTTTTATATAACACATATACATGTTCTGTATTACTGCGAGACTAACAAATCGTTTGACAAACTAAATATTTTTTCAAATTTTAAGTTCAGAGTTTTGTCTTTCAGTATAGATCTCTCTCTCTCTCTCTCTCTCTCTCTCTCTCTCTCTCTCTCCAGTAGTGAAACAAAACAAAATATAACTCAAATTTTTCGAGGACTATATAGATATCGAGCGAATGTAATAACTATGAGAGCGACCCTTAACTTGTAGTTCACTATTTCTATCGCATTATTCAACGGGAGATACAATTTCTCACACAATAAAAACTTATTAATTAATCATTTTTCTCCATTCACTTTGTTATTGAGCTCTGAATTCCAGAGCAAAACTATTTTTCTAATCTACTCTTCATTACACGTGATATGTATGTACTGTAAACACAGGCCGTGAAAATATTTGTTGTCTACCTGTCCATTATGTTGGAAATTATGCATTATTTCATTTCAATGCCATTCCTTATCCATTGGTTATAAAAGAAATTATTGATTCATATATTAATTAATTGTTACAAAAGAAGTTCTGTAATAAATGCGAAGATTGGTTTGTTTGATGTAAAACTGGAAACTTGTTTAACACATAAATAGGAAATAAATTGTGCACAAAAGTGCCAATGGTTTTCAATGGTTATGTGTGCTTATGCTGTGGGCAATGCCTGTGCCCGGTGTTGGCGCACCTGGACTTTCAAATGCTTTCTAACACCTTAAGAAGTGTGGGGCAAATGAGTCAAAGAAATAGCACTTTCCAGACAGCATAGCGCCAGTGGATCGCCTCAGGGCTTCACCGAAACAGGGCTCACAAAAAGTGATGCATAAAAATATTAATGTTTTACTAAATCATAGATAACTTTATACTTTGACTTTCATTACACACGATATTTGTATTTGTCGTTTCGTGCCGTCATTTCATACATCCTATTATACACTGCTATTAAAAGCTATAAAATTCTTGAGATTTTTTTGTCTCATTTGTTGATATATGAGTGTTGAACGACGCGAGAGAGAGAGAGAGAGAGAGAGAGAGAGAGAGATCTATACTGAAAGACAAAACTCTGAACTTAAATATTAGTAGTATATTTTTTGTTAGTGAATGCATTTAATAGTGTACTGAAAAAGCATTTATTCTGAGAGAGAGAGAGAGAGAGAGAGAGAGATGATGGAAACGGTTGAGTATGTATGTATCGGTGCATTTGGTCCCGTGTGATAAGGGATTTGCTAAAAGAAGATTATGATGATTATAATAATGGCCACATAAGCACTAATGAGTTGCCTATAACAAGAATGTACTGCACTTTTACCCGAATAGTAGTGAATGGAGAGCACAGACCCTATAAGAGGTAATCCCAATCAATTAGAGATGAAATAAAGTCGATTCCCAACCGATGTCTTAAGTTTGGCCTCCAATTCATATCTACAGTTCGACAGTAGTGTCTATTTTTGGACAACTTTTCATTCATACATTCATATAAACCAAATAACAATCAAATTCTTAACATTTGCTTCGTTTAATGGGAGGAAAGGCCTAAAGACTTAACTCTTATATATGTATATATCATACGAACGATTCGCTAAAATCAATGACTCGTTTTAATTGATTCTTAAAAATTCAAACCCAAAACCAAACAAAACTTTTAATACCATTTGAATAAAAATAAGAGTAAAACCGAATGCAAACCAAAGTATAACTGAGATTTTGTCACAAAAAATAAGAGACAAAACAAACAAAAAAGTAATAAAAAGCGAAAACTCTTACAGAATATTGAGTTGCATTTGTCTTCGTATGACTGCATTCCTCTTATTCACCAAAACGAACCACTTCTGCATCAGTCGCTCTTCCTCTTGCTTAGCGCCGCCTTTTGGACACGAATCAGATTATTAGATGAAATACATATCGATTTTAAGCATTCATATTAAGCCAAGTACAGTAAAACATGAACTGGGTGAACTTGGTAAATTTTGCCATTTAGTTCACACAAATCATTAGTTCACACAAATCATTATGAACTAAAAGTCTGGTTAATACATAAATGTTGCTTTAAATTACAAATTTTAAGTGTTTTAAGAGAAATAGTCGTAATTTTCTGTTGTTTTAATGGTTTATGGAATGTAAACAACTTATTAGCCGTTTTGTGTAAGAAATGTTTTAGTACTGTCATCTATATTTGGGTATAAATTTTCTATTTTCTGTGGTTCACACAACTCATTATAAAATGCATTGAATGCCACATAATTTTAGCTATAATTTGTTCACACAGATCATTAGTTCACACAGTTCATGTTCACACAAATCATGTTTATTTAACATTATGTCTATGAGAGACTAGTTTATGTTTTGAGGTTTGGTTCATACAAATCCTTAGTTCACACAACTCATGGTTCACCCAGTTCATGTTTCACTGTATTAAAGTTTTAGACGAGAAATGTTTTAAAAAGCAGATTAAACTAAACATTAAGTCGAGCGTTAAAAAAGTTTGTTTAGGGATTAGAAGGTAACAAATATATGAATATATTTTGCGGATATATTCATAATAAAACCCAATATTAAAATGCGGAGCTTTAAAGTGTGATGAATGAGAGCAGGGATTTGGTTCATATACAATAGCTAAGTATGGCAAAAGGTAATCAGAAGCCTCAGAAAAGAGGTCTTTCACACGGAGAGATAGCTAAACAAGGAGAAGAGCTAGCTCACGAAGCTAAAGTAACGTGTGTATTCTGCTGGGAATCTGTTTTCTATTCATATGGTTTATGTTATCAACTGTTGCCACAACTCTATTGTTTCTATTGTCCACTTCCTCTTCGTTTCCGTTCACTTCTGAAGTCCATAACAATAGAAATAAGCGATTAATTGATTAGTCAATCAAAATGCATGAATGAAGTGAAATAATAGATTAGAAAAGAAATAGATTTCGGAATTAAATTCAATCAAAAAATAATTCTCACCACTAATTGGTTTTTTGAATTGATAAAAGTTAAAGTGACGGACTTTGCCTATCAGTGCAACCAATACAACAATACATGCGATCAGAATAAAAACAACAAAATAATTCATTAATTATTGTGCATTTCATCATTCATTGGCATTTGTTTAGATTTTCAATTCATCAATCGTTTCAAATCAATAACAAAATAAAAATAATAATTCAGGCAATTATTCATTCAAAATAATAAATTATTAATAACTTTAATGAATTGGAATTTCGTTCAAAGATTTCTCGAATTAATTCAATTATTTATTCAAATCAGAGAATTTGATGGCAGAATAAATAACAATCAAAATAGTGGAAATAGTCATTCAATAAATACAATATAAGAATATATTCCTAAACTTAATTCAAGAAATATTTGAAAACTTTTGTTGGGTTTAAGGGATATATGAAAGACTTTGAAAGACTTAATAAATGCATAAAAGTACGCAAAACTCCAATTCAATAAAAGTCAAACAATAAATAAAGATATTCTGCATATCTTTTCATATTATAATAAGAATATTCTTATAAACGAAAATAAGTCCAAATAATAACCTCTTCGAGAAAGCATTTTATTGTTGACATTGGAGTTATGGCTGGCATTGGATGCGTTTGTGTTGATATTATTATAATTATTGATTCGGTTCTCATAGTTATTCTCATTTGAATTGTAATTATTGTTTGCGTTATCATTCATATTAATATTTGCATTGATATTGATATTATGAAACGTGTGGTGAGAATCGGGTGAGTCTAAGCTGGACCACGGGATGGCATTTGTGATGCCCTGACGCGCCTCAGCTATCAGTCTTCTGGCCCTTTCTCTCAACAGTCGCTGTCTTTCCTCTTCTTGCTATAAGAATCCAATATATTATGTAATAAAACATTAATGTCTAGTATTATAGAGAACAGCCTTTTCATTATTACCATTCCGTATACAGTATTAAACGCTGAAACTACGAAACGTCTCTCTGTATGTAAAGTTAGAGTCATCTCTATTGTTGGTTTATTTAATTAAGTAATCTCTTTGAGTAACTGTCTTACTTTTTCAAACGAAAACAAATGAATTTCCGCTTATTTTTATGTTTAATAAATGAGAAAGAAACTGATTGTAAAATAACTTATTATAAGTAATAAATGACTGCAAAGAGTTATAAATAACTATACGAAATAGAAATTAAATATTTATCTCAAATATACTGCAACTTTTTTGAAACAAACTATTTAATCATTTATACTCTAATAATCATCAATAATTTAAAAGTCAATTCTAAACAATCGATTCCCAAGAAGTCTATGAATTTGATTCGTGTCAACAGTATTTATGTCTGAATGCAGTCATAGTTCCTAATAATTTAGATCAGTAGTGGTCTACGGACTTAAATATTACTTTACATCAAATTAACTATTTTTTTACTTTTAAATTATTAAATGACTGTTTAACTCAATTTTAATAGTAATTACTGTATGTTATATTAATAGTTCAATTGTTACGTAATGTTCAGCCATTAGAATATTAAAAAATAATGTCAGAAAACATCAAATACTTTAGTCAAGTGTCCGGAGGGTTGAGTATTTCGAGGAGTGAGCGCTTCTTTGCGTGCGTTCTCTAATAGTCTTCGGGCGCGCTCTTTGAGCTCTTCCTGTCGTGAGAGCGGACGCTATGAATCAATTAAAGAGATTAGTGTCGAATCGGGGCATAAATCAAACAAATCTAATTAAAAGGGATTATATTCTCTAATAGTCTTCGGGCGCGCTCTTTGAGCTCTTCCTGTCGTGAGAGCGGACGCTATGAATCAATTAAAGAGATTAGTGACGAATCGGAGCATAAATCAGACAAATCTAATTAAAAAGGATTATACTCTTCGCGGATCGACGAGAAAGGAGTGTCCGGTGGGCGCCGAATGAGCTCTTTGTAAGCGAAAAGTCTTGGATGGCGAGAGATCTAACAAACCCGGAGCCAATTCCACCGGTTCTGTCATACGATAGAGACCCGAATGCATTGAACCGCCAGTTATTGAATAGTCGTTATTCAGACGACGCGATGACGTCGACGGCGAAGACGATGACGAGGAGGAGGAAGAGGGCGACAAAACGGGCGCTTTTTTGTACGCGTATTGAATGGGTCGCCGAATGGGCTCTCGAACCACACTCTTGTCTGAATCTGTATGAGAAGGAGTACTCGTTTGCGACGAGTTTTGCGCTAAACATCAATATTAATAATAAATAAATGAAAAAGAATTCGCGATTTTTTGTGGGAAAAGAGCGAAAGAGAAAGAAATAATAATAAAAGGAAATGAAATGAAAAGAAGTAATAAATAAATAATTAAATTAATTTACATTTGTTTCCATTTTGATGATGAGTTAATTCAATCTCTTCGTCGCTATCGGAGTCAAAAGGGTATAAAAGTTGTTTTCGAGTCATTAGTTTTGGCCTCTCATGACTCGCATTCATCGATCCATTATTAATGTCAGAACTGTTTGTTTGCGTTTCTCTTTGGCTCTCATTATCCCTGATATCACAAGAATTCGATAAAATCTTTTGCAATTCTTTGAGTTTTCCATTTCTGAGTTTCGAAAAACTAAATCTTTCTTTTCTAACGCTTTTCTCATGGGTTGGCGACGACGGAGAGGTCGCTCCTGACTCTCCACTACTGCCGACCCCCGCCTTCGCACTCCGATTGCTCCCAATTTGTCTTTTATGAATTGAACGCTCATTATTCTCGTTCTCGTCAATCATTGTAAACGCTTTATTGTCGATAGCGTTCACATGACTACCACTTCCATCCACTAAATCTTCATTTGTATATAAATTAGTCCTCATTTTGTTCGCTTGATTAACGTCTTCTGTCTGCAAATTATCGTTGTATTCATTGCCATCGACTTCATTATCGCTGTCTTGTTCTCCAATGGTATACATAGACTCTTTGGCGGTGTCTCCGATTTGTTGCAATTGCATCATTTGGCCACAAAAATGAGCCCTTAATTGATACAAATATGTCATCACCGATAGCTTATCGGGTACTGAAAGCATCACCATATCTGAGGGCTCAATAAGCTTAGGTATGCCGAGAGTGGCCGCCGCGTCAAACGCCTTCTTGCAGTTGCCCTTAATATCGGACGGCGAAAGAGCACTGAATTCTATGAGATCGGGTCTAAAGTGATGAATGACTGCACAGAAAGCCATTCCGTTTCGCCACGAAGTGGTCATATTTGTCACTTTCACGGCGTGATAGCCAGTGGTGACGGTTTTACACCAACTCAATAGATCTTCGGTCGCCGAATAGGCGGGCATTTGTTCGTCACAAGAGCTCACGAATGAGGTGTCGGTGACGAAGGATGTGTCGCCCGTTTCAATGGGCGCTAAGTTTTCGGTATAACTAATGAAAGAGTCGTCGAGAGCGGACTGATTGGGCGGCGATGGCTCGCGTGCGGTGTTCACAGTACTGGCGTCAGTGTCTGACTGTTGGCACTGTTGTGATCGCACAGGCATTCGCTCGAAAGTGAAGTTCTCAGCACTAGTATCGGCGGCTGAGAAGTGAGGCATTTGCGCGTCCGCACAACTCACTGAAGTTGTGTCACTCGTGTCTCCTATTGCTATCGAACCGTCAATCGTGTCATCAAAATCTTCAATGTTTCCGATGTCTTCCATCGGTTTCATACTCATAAGACTGGCTATGCTTTGCATGTCTTCATCGCTGAAAGTGATCATAAATCATAGGTTACGCTCACATGACTTTTGACACAACACATCAAAGTTTAGGGCAAAACAAAAAATAATAAGAAAAACTTTTGCCAAACACTAGAGAATACACACTCTTATCATGGCTTATGTTTATTTATTTGAAGGATAGTGTGATGTGCAGTACTGGTCAGTGCCAGTGGTTATATACCGTAATAAAAACACTGAATATTCCTCTCTGTAGTGCCTATTATAATGTCGTAAAAAATTGATGGCATAACACATATTCATCATTATTTATGACTAGTTTTTCACGGAGTCTAACATTAATGCATAATATTTCGTGAAAACATTTTTATGTATCGATAAGTAATTGAAAAAGTTTCATATTTTTTCATACGCTCTCATTGTAGGCAATACTATAACGTAATATGAATTCATAGCGAATTCACTTAAATAAGTTGTTTTCAATTTCAAATGATAATAAAAATTGAAATATATTTAACTGTTTATTCAATAAATAATCGTTAGGAAAGCCATTATCGCCACTTTTTATTATCATAAAGAAATTGTTTTGAAACGTGATCTCAAGCGTAATGTTTATGGAAAAAAGTGGAGCCGTTTTTGCTTCTTTGTCGAAGCGATAAATAGCCAAAAGTTTGTCTTAGTTTTATTAATTAAGCGACTTTTGCTTTCATCAAATGCCTTAATGGCTATCAATTGAAAACCAGAGACCAATTGAGTTAATTAATAAAACTGAGACAAACATTTGGTCATATATTTTACGAAGAGTTTGATTGCAATTCACACGCCGTTAAACATCACGTATGGAATAATTCTTGCAATCAATTTCTCTTATATTCTTCTCGCAAATTATATTAACTTTTTTGCACACATTTTAACATTTCATTTATGACCCGAAGAAGTGATAAAATATTTTCACTTCAGAGAAGAGAGTTTAATAAAATAAATTTTGCTTTTCTTTCTTAAAATAGAGAATAGATTTCGAAAATAATAGAAAGTGAAGCGAAAATTAATTCAATTTATAGATCAGATGCTCCGCTAAATCTCAAAATTATCGATAGTTTCTCATTTCAAATCAATTGTTAGTAAATGTGTTGAAAAATGCGAGTTTGANTCGTTTACTGAAGAATAAGTAGTGAAATATTAGACAATATAAGCAAATATTATCTGATTGTCAACAGAAACCTATCGATAGTTTTGTGATGGTTTGAAGGATAGAAAAGTTAATATTGTCTGTGATGTGAACTAAGAAAACCTATTGAACATAAAGTGATGACCAGAGAGAGAGAGAGAGAGAGAGAGAGAGAGAGAGAGATTTTGAAAGAAATATTACAAAATAACAATTTTAAAATATCATGAAATGAAAAAATCGTTTACTGAAGAATAAGTAGTGAAATATTAGACAATATAAGCAAATATTATCTGATTGTCAACAGAAACCTATCGATAGTTTTGTGATGGTTTGAAGGATAGAAAAGTTAATATTGTCTGTGATGTGAACTAAGAAAACCTATTGAACATAAAGTGATGACCAGAGAGTTGTCGACCAAAAAAGAAGAAAGATTTTGACATAAATCAGGAGAAAATCTATAAATGCGAGGAAATGTGAGGGAAAACACTTTTTTGAGGCTAACATATGTGTGTCTCGATTTGATAGCAAAAATCGATTTTACATAACGTATAGTAAAGTGAGCGATGAGTAGAGATATCGCTGATGTGATAGCAAATGGAAATTGAAAATGTGTTGCAAAAACATGAGATGAGTTTAAATGGATTTTTCAATTAAAAATAATTAATGATTTAAAACAAAACAATAGGGAAATTGTTTTGTATAAATTTTCTCGATAGAAAATACTTTGCAAAAGTAATCAATTATGCAAAACATTTAAGACGTGTCAACAAATACAACACATAAAACACACAAAACTAATTGTATGAATATTTATGAGTTTTATATTTAAAGTTATAACTATAATGCATTTTGTAGTTTGTTTTGGACTCAAATTGAGAGCACATTAATTACAAACATACACAACAATTTGCACACAATTTCCCTGTTTTCTGTAATCTCACACTAATTGAAACATACAATTAGACAATCGCTTGGATCGCAACTTAATTACCGGATAAACTAAATCATTAATAAATTAGATTATGATATCGTTTTTTCCGCAATTAATTGCATTCAATGTAAATAATTTAAAGATAAAAATGGACTCATTTTTTGCAATAACTGCACACAAGAAGAAAAAAGATTAATTATAATTTGGGTTTTGTATTGAAGTATTGAATGTATTGTCGTATCAAATGAATGAAAGGAAGGGATGGGTGATTGACCCCAAAAATAATATCACTGAAGACTACCGATTGTTATATAAAGTAATCATTTTTGGCGACAATAATGGATAGCGATATATAAAGTAAAGAGTTGTCCTTACGTTGCCTTCCCTTCTCTGATGAACTGAGAGGTGAGAGTGAGAGTAATGTGAGATTCGGTCACTTTTCTCACAGAGCATTCACGTAAAGGCATTTTATGGATCTCATGTTCGGTCGGCACTGAATTCACTCCATCCACGTATTCACTGAAGTCGATGGTCGCAAACGCCACTTTGCGTCGCCGACCGTTGGCCGCCACGTCCTCCACGGCTATCACCCACTCTTTGGGCTCATACTCGAGGCTCCGTTGGTCGCGAAACAGAGTCACCTCCACTTCCAACAGCTCGGCCACAGACCAGACAACTAAACCGCGATAAGGGTTACGAAGCGTCGGTTCCCATGCCTTCGGGTGCGAAGAATATCGTCGATTCCTTCGCGTCAATACCACACATAATCTGTTTGGTTGCCTGTAATGCAATCATTCAATATTTTCGGTCAATTCTTGTGTTCAACTATTTATAAGTATTAGTAGTATTAGTATTAGTGTTAGTATTACTACAAGTGCTCTACAGAAGAGATTCAAAGTAAAAAAATCGATACAAAAGAGTAGAGTATAAGAAGCAAAAGACACCACAAGAAGGCAAAGAAGCGCTCTTTTTATTACTCCTTAAGAGCTTCTGTCTGTTAGAGTAGTGACTGCGAGACTCTGTGTAGATATAGAGGTCGACATCCAAATTGAAAACAAGTAATTGCTTTTTATATACACTTAATTCCCTCACCAATCGGTTCCCAATGGATTCAAAATTAAAGCTAATGTTTTTCTACACCTTTCTTATGTCAGTCCTGTCAGCGCTGTATTAGAGAATATCTCATACAGAATATACATTGCATTCAAATGTTTAGTTTCCATATAATTCAGTGCATTAACTGACGCTTAAAGCGCTATTTAGTGTAAACATAGCGTGCATTCAATCGTACGTATAATTAAAATATTTGATTTGTACGCATGTTATACACTATTCATGTCTGGCCAACAAATACATACACTCTTCTATTGACTACTACTCAGTTCCTCATATCATAGAAAACTGTATCCAAAATATTACTTTTCCAACAATAGACTCTCTTATCGACCCAATCGTAATGCAAGTGCCGGTCGTTTACCACTACTATATTAAAGAATATTCTGTTAAGAGAATGTTCAATGAATGTGCGAAACATAGCATAAGGAATCCGTTGGCATAGCGTGTGTGTGAGCGCACACAAACACAGTGGGCACTAACCCTAAGCACAAACAACAACTAAACCATACAAAAGAATCGTTTAATTAATATAAAAAACATTATCCACTTTTATGATCACATTATGATTATTCAGTACTCAGACATAAACTTATGCATTAAACTGTGCACTACTTTTGAGAACTAATTTGCATTTTATGGTCATTATTCTATCGCAAGAATTCAATTAAACAATTTAATGCCAATTCCAATGAATGTATGAATAGATATGCGATTCCTATACAAGAATCTCAATTCTGTATTCTGTGTGTGGCGTACAGTTGAGGCCACACCTAATCAATAGCCCAGTGCCAGTCAGTCCACTGTCAGTCAGTAGACTTTTAGTCCTCAAGTATTTTATTACTGCTAATGTATTGCCATTTGCTTCCGAAAAAGGTATTAAAAGCTGAATAAAAGTCGTGTAAAAGACATAAATTGTTGATATATTTTAGACATAAATTTTGCCCAAAAAAAAGTTTGGCCAAAACATGGATTGAGGGGGAGTTTAGTATCAATACTATTATTGCTAAACAGTGTCAGCGCTAATGACCACAATTGCTAGACATGAGGAAAATGGTTTAGTTTGCGCTAAAAAGTCAGTAATTTATTGATTTTTTGGGCTTTTCTATCAAAACACAAAAACTCTTGGCGTAAACGCAATGCAAACTCAATCGCAAACCACACCAACAAAAAAGTTACTAAAAAGCATTAATTCTCTCAATATTTGTTTTAAACAATAAAAATAAAACAAGAGTTTAATGTATGGCAGGAGTAATGATAACCGAAAGGCCAGAGTCTCGGCTGCAAAACCCCCTGAAAAACATGACAACACATAACAAATGCAGTGAAATATCGGTCAATAAAGAGTTGGGTCGCAAAATGTGTTCAATTTTATGCCATAATTTATTTGTCGTAAAATGAGATAAACTTTTATTATTGATCCAAAGATGTGGTGATAAAGGATGAGATGTCATACCATTTATTGGACGCCTCGACCATCAGCTCCTGAAGAGCGCACACAAAGCGAAACTTTGCGGCCCTTTTGTTCACCCGTTGTAATCGTTTCCACACAGAACTCATTATCACTCAATCGGTTCCCACAATGTCTTCGTAGAGGGAAACCAATAACATCAACACATTTACCACCGATTTATTAACAATAATTATATATTAATTTGAGTTCAAAAAACTTAACAACAAATCCACTCAAAACACGCAAAATATATATTTGTTTAATATTTTCATAATTAATATAAAATAAATTAATTTCAATTAAAAGTATTCACTAATTATGTGTGCAATGAATGGCACATCAAAACAGCACTCAATTCCCACTCAAAACCATTTGTTTATTTTTAGCGTTAAATTGAAAACAATTTATTTTTAATACTTATTTTGTTTATCAAAACGACATTTCAATGACATGTGATTTCATACATAAATTATGTCATAAAATGGCTGTCAGTTTCATATGGCTGTGAATCGGGGTCTTTAGCACCCCTTCGAGTCGTTATTAATATGTTATGCATTTAAAGGACTGTATGTATGAAGTGATGGCATTCCTCACACTCTGGTCTGACATCTCTTATAATACTTGACACTATTTTCTGGCATTTATTTATTCAAACTATAAATACATTTCAATATAAAACTATTTATTTTTAAATAAAATTTTAGCATTTATTACACATTTAAAGAAACCCTTTAAACAATTAACAAAACATATCATTAGAGTACACGTCGAGAGCCGGTGATCATAGAATGGGATCTTTGCACGACTTTTTGATGATCTTCTTGAGCTTATATTTGCGTTTAAATGTCTGTTTAGTTCGCGTTTCGATTATATTTCTTCGTTGAATGCTTTTGAATCTGTCCTCCAATAGGTTTCCCTCCGTTTTCATTGAACGCAAAGAACCGCTCAGTTCTTGTGTCAGATTGAGCTCAACGTCTGGCGACGAGTACTCGTAACGACTCATTCGTTTCGGTTTAAAAAGTTTACTCCGAATCCTCTCCGACCGTCTCATCTGTCTCTCAGTCGACTCTTTGTCCTTTCGGTCCAACTCTTTCTTATAAGTCTTCAATTTGAAGATTTCATTCGCCTTTATTTTTAAACCCTTTTCTAACTTCTTCTTGAGTGACATTTGTTTCTGTAATAACTCTTTATTTCTCTGGGCTTTTGTCTTCTTTTTATCGGCTCTAATTAATTGGTGGCTAATCTTCTCGTCGTTCTCTTCAGTTTGGTCTTCAATATCATTGTCTTCGTCGTCGCTGAGCCCTAATCCGTGAGACATCTCTTGAGACCACGTTTGGTCGTTAGGCGCCGACGCTTTGGTCACATAATGATCTTCGACAAGACGTGTGAAGTGTTGGTCTTCGCGAATCTTCTTCACTTCGATGTCGTGAGCCATCGCTAACAGGCTTTGATGCGCTTCGGAGGAAGGATTGTACGATTGGCCCGAAAGCGGCACTTCTACTGATGGCAACAACGATGGCTTATTGTAACGATGTTTCGGTACTTTCGGTGGTTTACTGCCCTTAAGAACTTCCTGATAGTCTATCAGTTCCTCAATTTCTTCGTCGTCCGGATGTGTCTCCGGTTTCTCTCCCCAGAGATCGAACCCAAACTCATATCTCAGTTTGGGATCCGCTTTAATCGCTTTCCTCTCCTCTGCCATCTGTTTTGCTCTCAAATACTGTTTCCGTTTTTGAGGCCATAGTTTGGCGAACTTCTTGTCGTCGTTGAGTAAAGTTCTCTTCGTTTCTTTGGGACCAATTCTGGGAGAAATGGGATCCACTTTGGACTGAGACTCAAGTAATTTAAAGTACTTTATGTCCGATTGAATTGATTTCAATTTTGACTCTTTCGGCGCTTTCGTTGCCTTCTGTTTGTCTTCACTCAAGAGTGCATTGTTTGCCGTCTTTTCGATCACAAACAGACTTTCGTCCGATTTGTCTGCAGCGGAACCGCTGAAGTAATGACAACATTATCATTAAAACACTGCATTTAAATGGTGTGCAAAATAAAGTTCAATAACAAACCCAATCCTCTCATTGAATCGCTTATTGTCCAGATATTCCTCCACATCGTCGACAGGACAGTGTTTTTTCCACGACTTCTTCCGATTTTTGCTCACTTTCACAGCTTTTGCGGTCGTTTTGGACATCATTTCAATGATTGTCTTCAGTCTCTCTCAGCACTCAATTCACACGTGTTTTCAATACAACAAAACACACATTGAATGCAAACACTTATACGACGGCTGACTGTGTCTCGCATTTCAACACATTTTTCTCTATTCAACAAAATTTATGACAACTTTTTGTAAGACAAGCAAAAAATAAATTGATTTTTCATTTGAACATAATTTGTGGTAAAAATAATGTTTTATTTTAAAAAATTTAATTTTAATCATTCACTGAATCCATAATTTTTGGTAAAGTTTTTTAAGTTTTTGGACAATTATTTGGCTTCGGTTTCGCGGATCTCTTCTGCGGTGACTTTCTTTTGATTGTTTTACTCGTCTTTCGTTTATTCATAGACTTTATCTCAACTTTGGTCTCAATTTCTTCTTCACTCTCCATATAATTGGAGTCCAAATCGATTTGGATTTCATTGAATAATTCAAACCATTTTTGACACACTTTTTCAAAGCCATCCATTGATTGAGTGATGCCTTCGAAGATATTTTGGCCAAACATTACATCTTTGCCGACAATCACTGAATCTGACGATAAGTTTGTATGACATGATATGGGATGTGATGGATGTTCACTGAATTGATTGCAATTCACATTTGACTGCATTTCGTGATGGCTTTCAAACGGATAGGAATTGTTGAGATCAGCACTCAATGAAACTTCACTGACTTTGAGACACATTTTTGTCTTAAGACTTTTTATTGGATTCAGTTATGAATTATGTTTTTATCGTTGATTTTATAAATGACTTAAAATTTAAAATATATTTTTCATATAACAGTAAATGATTTCATGCGAAACAATACTATTTAAGGCATTTTGATATTTGCTATGAATCATAGCCTATGATTGTATTAATTTTGTCAATAAAATAGATTTGATGTTAAATTTAAAATTACAAGAATTAAATGTTTATAACTTTCTCGTAACTCATAAATTGCAATTCAAACAGAGTTTGCATTTTGTAATAGAAAACGGTTGGAATTGTACTCAATCTTCTCATTAGTTCCCAAACCGAGTGATTGTTTGAATAATTGTTTTAATTGTGGACACAATTGTGCGGCACAAGTGATGTGTCAATTCTGTGATTCTTTGTGTCAATACATCTGTTGCTGTGGTTTTTGGTTCGGGAATAGAGACACGAAAAGCAACCGAAGAACTCATCACAAAACGTCAAAGAGCTCGAAGACTCGGAGCCCAAAAACTCTCCCAAAGGCTTCGGTGAAAGAGATGTCACACAAACGCTTGTCAGCGATCGAAGACTACGTTCAGACCATCCAATTGGCGAAAGGAGCCGCTCTTCACGATGTGCTGAAGACCAAAGGTTATGACCTCCAGATCACGGAAGAGCGGTTCATCAAAGGCGGCGGCTTTGGTCAGGTTTACAGGGCCTACAAGACGGCGCCCGCAACTGATCCTCTTCTGATCGCGTGTAAAGTGATGGCGGGTTCGAAGAAACAACAATCGGACAGAGAGTTGAAAAGCTATACCGCTTTGAGTCACGAGTATATTGTGCACACTTACGACAGATTTAACATCGAGGCCATGGATAGTATGGGTCAATACAGTACTCTTCATATTCTCATTTTCATGGACTATTCGCCGGTTGGAGATCTCGAGGACGAGTTAATGACCAAAACGCGTGGCTATATGTCTGAGGAAACAGTGAAACGATATTTCGGCCAAATCATCGAAGGAATGAGATATTTGCATAAGAATGGTGTCGCCCATCGCGACCTCAAACTGCCCAATATTCTGCTCTTCCCATCCAATCGCGAAGAAGGCACCAAAGAGTGTCGAATCACCGATTTTGGTCTCACGGCTACCGCTTATACAGAGGGCGAGGGCTATAAGCGGTACAGTAAACACGTGGGCACTCGTGAGTATATGGCACCCGAGCTCTTGGAGATTATGCTCTTTAAAGCCAAGAATGAGGACAAATCGGGTGAACGGATGCGTCCGCCTGAATACGATGCTCTGCCCGTCGACTGTTGGGCCTTAGGTGTGATGGCATTCCGACTGCTCACCAAAACATTCCCCTTCGAAGTGCCGAAGAATCCCAGGAAATCGATGGCCAAAATCGAGAATTACGTCAAACAATTAGAAGGCGTACTGAAGAAACAGAAGAACAAACAGATTTCATTTCCCAAACCAATTGTCGTCTTATCTAACGCTTGGGATTTGATCACCCGATGTCTGGATCCACTGCCTCACTCTCGTCTCGATATCGATGGCATTATGAGTCATCTGTGGTTAGAAGGAGTGACCAGTTTAACACATGATCAGTGGGCGAAACAGTGATCCACAAGTGTTTGTTTATTAAAATACACACAAATCTATAATCAAATTATCGCTATTTGTAATGAATTTTTATTTGTTATATTCTTTATGTATATTTCATTTGTCATAATATTTAGAATTGAAAATAAAATCTCATTTAATTAATTGTATTTTATTTTAATTCAAATTTAAAGTGAATTACTTATCAATCGTATCCATCAAATGTTGCATCAGTTTTGATAACTTTTTATTTTAAAAACACTAAAATCAACTCAACATTTGTAGACTCAACCAAATATTAAGTTTATTTAAACCAGAATCCATAAGATTTGTTTAAAAGGAAACTTTAGATTATAAGTATAGCATAAAGTGTTAGTTCCCTTTGAGTTCAAAAGCAAAAAACAATTTATTTTAATTTTTATCAATTATAAGAGTGACGTAAATAACAATGAGATTAGTTTATACAGTATTACAATAATTGTATTAATTAATTATGCCATTTATAACATTTCTGTATTTTATTATTTCAATAGTTTACATACACTTTACATAACATTTGAATAGATTATGTTATCCAATGAGTCGGCCCTTTGGCTGACAGGCTTTCCTCAATGAATAGCCGACATAAGAACACTCTTCTCTTCGGTCACAATCCCTGTCCGAACGACAGCCATATTTACGGCTTTGTCTCTTCCGACGCGACAACTCATCCAAATTATTGGACTCTTCCTCGCCTTCCAATCGAAGCTCAAAATCTCCCTCTTCTTGACTATAACTCAACTACAGGTAGAAAACAATTATATTAAAAATTATATATTTATTAAATCTATTACATTATTACTTGAGTCAAACACAAAAACAAAACCAAAGAAAATATAATAATATGTTTGATTTCCATTTCGATTTCTTTAATATAAACTAAGCGTACAATTAATGGTTAATAATAAAATAATTGATGAGACAATACCACAGTTTTATAGTACTGTTGAATATCCTGGCAAAGGATATAACAATGTAATATTACAGTGAATATTGTGATACATAAACATTGCAAAAGTATAAGAACAACACTTTATATTAAACTGATTTCCCGACAAATCTATTCCTAGATTTAAAACTTATATTGAATGTCAATTTTCTGCGAAATATTTTTTATAAGTTTTATTTTTGAGCATATTTTAGTTAATCAAACATTTACAAAATGAATTAATCGTATTTCTTGAATATGTTGTTGAAAAGATAATAAAACTTATTATAATATGTTTGTCAGATAATAAAATTGATATGAATATGATTTACAATAATTGTATTATAATTTATCAAAAAATCTTATCGTGAAATAAATTCACACAACGAGCTATGAGTCGTTCATCAATGTCTTTTAGTATTGAAGTTTTTAAAATTCATGTTATTTTACAATTCATTTTTTAGTGTATTTTTAATATAATTATTTCATTTTATTTAAATCTCCAGTCAATGAGAAATACATATTTTCAATAAAATACTAAAACAATTGTCAAACCATAAGGAATTAGAGCATAAAATTAAGACATTTATTTTCAAATAATTTTTGATCAAATTTTATAAGTAAATGAATATAAAAGATAATCGACTGATGGATAGAAAGATAAGAATGGATGGGAAGTGACATAATTTATGTAATTAGTTTTAGTTCTTCCATTAGTTCTTTTTGGGCACTAATCAACTCGGTATTCACTTCTTGGGCCTGAACTTCTTGGGCCTGAACTTCTTGGGCCTGAACTTCTTGGGCCTGAACTTCTTGGGCCTGAACTTCTTGGGCCTGAAC